TTGCAGTGTTGTCATGGTCCTCTTTAGCAGTGTAGTGTTGCAGTGTTGACATGGCCCTCTGAGCAGTGTAGTGTTGCAGTGTTGACATGGTCCTCTGAGCAGTGTAGTGTTGCCGTGTTTCCATGGTCCTCAGATGCAAGTCCTGGTTGCAAGGCAGGGAATACATGTAGTGTTTTGTCATGGTCCTCTGAGCAGTATAGTGTTGCCGTGTTACCTCCTGCAGATACAAGTACCTGGTACAACAGTAATACACTAATGTTGTCATGGTCCTCTGAGCAGTATAGTGTTGCAGTGTTACCTCCTGCAGATACAAGTACCTGGTACAACAGTAATACACTAGTGTTGTCATGGTCCTCAGAGCAGTATAGTGTTGCAGTGTTTACCTCCCTGCAGATACAAGTACCTGGTACAACAGTAATACACTAGTGTTGTCATGGTCCTCAGAGCAGTATAGTGTTGCAGTGTTACCTCCTGCAGATACAAGTACCTGGTACAACAGTAATACACTAGTGTTGTCATGGTCCTCTGAGCAGTATAGTGTTGCAGTGTTACCTCCTGCAGATACAAGTACCTGGTACAACAGTAATACACTAGTGTTGTCATGGTCCTCTGAGCAGTATAGTGTTGCAGTGTTACCTCCTGCAGATACAAGTACCTGGTACAACAGTAATACACTAGTGTTGTCATGGTCCTCTGAGCAGTATAGTGTTGCAGTGTTACCTCCTGCAGATACAAGTACCTGGTACAACAGTAATACACTAGTGTTGTCATGGTCCTCTGAGCAGTATAGTGTTGCAGTGTTACCTCCTGCAGATACAAGTACCTGGTACAACAGTAATACACTAGTGTTGTCATGGTCCTCTGAGCAGTATAGTGTTGCAGTGTTACCTCCTGCAGATACAAGTACCTGGTACAACAGTAATACACTAGTGATTCTAAATATTATGAGGGAGACCTAAACCCGTTGGGATTATACAGTGAGGGATGGAAGGTATTTAGGGAACTGGAGCACAGATCCAATTCCCTAGATCAAGAGCCTCTCACCAGCGTCAAGGATCCTCCTTTGAGGGGCCCTAGATCAAGAGCCTCTCACCAGTATCAAGCACCCTCCCTTCAGGGGTCCTAGATCAAGAGCCCCTCACCAGTCAATCCAAGCACCTCCTTCACCTTCAGGGGCCTAGATCAAGAGCCCCTCACCAGTATCAAGCACCCTCCCTTCAGGGGTTCTAGATCAAGAGCCCCTCACCAGTATCAAGCACCCTCCCTTCAGGGGCCCTAGATCAAGAGCCTCTCACCAGTATCAAGCACCCTCCTTTCAGGGGTCCTAGATCAAGAGCCCCTCACCAGTATCAAGCACCCTCCCTTCAGGGGTCCTAGATCAAGAGCCTCTCACCAGTATCAAGCACCCTCCCTTCAGGGGTCCTAGATCAAGAGCCCCTCACCAGTATCAAGCACCCTCCCTTCAGGGGCCCTAGATCAAGAGCCTCTCACCAGTATCAAGCACCCTCCCTTCAGGGGTTCTAGATCAAGAGCCCCTCACCAGTATCAAGCACCCTCCCTTCAGGGGCCCTAGATCAAGAGCCTCTCACCAGTATCAAGCACCCTCCCTTCAGGGGTCCTAGATCAAGAGCCTCTCACCAGTATCAAGCACCCTCCCTTCAGGGGTCCTAGATCAAGAGCCTCTCACCAGTATCAAGCACCCTCCCTTCAGGGGTCCTAGATCAAGAGCCTCTCACCAGTATCAAGCACCCTCCCTTCAGGGGTCCTAGATCAAGAGCCTCTCACCAGTATCAAGCACCCTCCCTTCAGGGTCCTAGATCAAGAGCCTCTCACCAGTATCAAGCACCCTCCCTTCAGGGGCCCTAGATCAAGAGCCTCTCACCAGTATCAAGCACCCTCCCTTCAGGGGCCCTAGATCAAGAGCCTCTCACCAGTATCAAGCAGCCCTCCCTTCAGGGGCCCTAGATCAAGATCCTCTCACCAGTATCAAGCACCCTCCCTTCAGGGGCCCTAGATCAAGAGCCTCTCACCAGTATTAAAATAACTAGCACAGTAGACTTGCCTCTATACAAACTATTCATGACTGGAATGCGGAAGTTCCTGCTAACTGCCCCCAGGGAAGTTCCTGCTAACTGCCCCCAGGGAAGTTCCTGCTAACTGCCCCCAGGGAAGTTCCTGCTAACTGCCCCCAGGGAAGTTCCTGCTAACTGCCCGCAGGGAAGTTCCTGCTAACTGCCCGCAGGGAAGTTCCTGCTAACTGCCCCCACGGAAGTTCCTGCTAACTGCCCCCGGGAAGTTCCTGCTAACTGCCCCCAGGGAAGTTCCTGCTAACTGCCCCCAGGGAAGTTCCTGCTAACTGCCCCCAGGGAAGTTCCTGCTAACTGCCCCCAGGGAAGTTCCTGCTAACTGCCCCCAGGGAAGTTCCTGCTACCTGCCCCCAGGGAAGTTCCTGCTAACTGCCCCCAGGGAAGTTCCTGCTAACTGCCCCCAGGGAAGTTCCTGCTAACTGCCCCCAGGGAAGTTCCTGCTAACTGCCCCAGGGAAGTTCCTGCTAACTGCCCCCAGGGAAGTTCCTGCTAACTGCCCCCAGGGAAGTTCCTGCTAACCTGCCCCAGGGAAGTTCCTGCTAACTGCCCCCAGGGAAGTTCCTGCTAACTGCCCCCAGGGAAGTTCCTGCTAACTGCCCCCAGGGAAGTTCCTGCTAACTGCCCCAGGGAAGTTCCTGCTAACTGCCCCCAGGGAAGTTCCTGCTAACTGCCCCAGGGAAGTTCCTGCTAACTGCCCCCAGGGAAGTTCCTGCTAACTGCCCCCAGAGAAGTTCCTGCTAACTGCCCCCAGGGAAGTTCCTGCTAACTGCCCCCAGGGAAGTTATGACAAGCTCCGGTAGTCAGTCTGGGTATAGTCTCTCACTGGTTTCAATACCCATAAGCCATTTAGCAGGGCATGGAAGGATATAAATAGAACTAAGGGTAAGATAAGATTGTGTTGGGATTTTGAACCACGGAGGGTTAGCCACTTAGGATAACTTGGGGTAGGGAGTGTTAGCCAGCCAGGATAACCCAGGGTAGGGAGTGTTAGCTAGCCAGGATAACCCAGGGTAGGGAGTGTTAGCTAGCCAGGATAACCCAGGGTAGGGAGTGTAAGCCAGCCAGGGTAACCCAGGGTAGGGAGTGTTAGCCAGCAAAGATAACCCAGGGTAGGGAGTGTTAGCCACCCAGGATACCCAGGTTAGGGAGTGTTAGCCAGCCAGGATAACCCAGGGTAGGGAGTGTTAGCCAGCCAGGAAAACCCAGGGTAGGGAGTGTTAGCCAGCCAGGAAAACCCAGGGTAGAGAGTGTTAACCAGCCAGGATAACCCAGGGTAGGGAGTGTTAGCCAGCCAGGATAACCCAGGGTAGGGAGTGTTAGCCAGCCAGGATAACCCAGGGTAGGGCGTGTTAGCCAGCCAGGATAACTCTGGGTAGGGAGTGTTAGCCAGCCAGGATAACCCAGGGTAGGGAGTGTTAGCCACCCAGGATAACCCAGGGTAGGGAGAGTTAGCCAGCCAGGATAACCCAGGGTAGGGAGTGTTCGCCAGCCAGGATAACCCAGGGTAGGGAGTGTTAGCCAGCCAGGATAACCCAGGGTAGGGAGTGTTAGCCAGCCAGGATAACCCAGGGTAGGGAGTGTTAGCCAGCCAGGATAACCCAGGGTAGGGAGTGTTAGCCAGCCAGGATAACCCAGGGTAGGGAGTGTTAGCCAGCCAGGATAACCCAGGGTAGGGAGTGTTAGCCAGCCAGGATAACCCAGGGTAGGGAGTGTTAGCCAGCCAGGATAACCCAGGGTAGGGAGTGTTAGCCAGCCAGGATAACCCAGGGTAGGGAGTGTTAGCCAGCCAGGATAACCCAGGGTAGGGAGTGTTAGCCAGCCAGGATAACCCAGGGCAGGGAATGTTAGCCAGCCAGGATAACCCAGGGCAGGGAGTGTTAGCCAGCCAGGATAACCCAGGGTAGGGAGTGTTAGCCAGCCAGGATAACCCAGGGTAGGGAGTGTTAGCCAGCCAGGATAACCCAGGGCAGGGAATGTTAGCCAGCCAGGATAACCCAGGGCAGGGAATGTTAGCCAGCCAGGATAACCCAGGGCAGGGAGTGTTAGCCAGCCAGGATAACCCAGGGTAGGGAGTGTTAGCCAGCCAGGATAACCCAGGGTAGGAGTGGTTAGCCAGCCAGGATAATCCCAGGGTAGGAGTGTTAGCCTGCCAGGATAACCCAGGCAGTGAAATGTTAGCCACGCCAGGATAACCCAGGCAATTGAGTGTTAGCCACGCCCAGGATACCCAGTTTCTGCTAGGTGCTAGCCAGCCAGGATAACAAGAAATCAATGGTCTTGCCCGACTGTGTTGTGTATATTACACATCATGGTTCTTCAGTGAGTACCAACCCACCACAAGACTCAATTAACACCCAGGATACCTTACAGATGGTAACAGGCCTAAAAAGGTGTAATGTTGCATCAACCAACCTACATATGCATAGATTAACTCTGAATTATGTCAAATTAACGAATAAATTAATCAAATTGTTTCCACGTACGGATTGAAGACCCAGTGATGTGAATACTTAAGGAGTCCACCAGCCTAGAAAAGGAATAAATTGTTTTGACGATTTATGTTGATAGTTACAAATGGCTTACAATTTACAATAAAATTGAGTAGTATAGTTGCGTATATAAAAGCCAAATGCTACATATCATGAAATATAAATTCGAAATTCAAGTATATAAAATATTAAGGTATAATTTGAAATATCAGGTAATTTGAAATAATCATAAATTATTATTTTAAGTCGTACAGTTCCTAAAGTGCTGTGGATTCATCTAATAAACGAAATATTATATATTAAGAAATTTACAACTTTCTATTCAGTAATATACATAATAAGTATAACCTATTTAACAATACAAAACATATTTAGCTAAGATAAGTAATAATCTGTGTATATATCAAGCAAATGACCTGACAGTATCAGAGTATATTTGAAATAAAAGTATATTTAAAATAATTAAGAGTATATTTGAAATAATCAAGAGTATATTTGAAATAATCGTAAAGGTTTTGGTATATTTGAGCAGTAGCAGTGTTCAACAAAGGCTGCTGTTGGTATATCCACTCTAATAAACACCTTGAAACATAATTACTTATCATTGAAGAAGTAAGTCAAGCAGTGTGCTATTTCAGTCACAAAAATATACATTAATACAGTATCATATCTATTTATACAATACAAAAAACATATTTAGAATAAAGCAGTAAGTACAAAAGGATAAATCTGTGTATCTGTTTTCTTAAAAATTACCTAAATACACTTCAGAAGAAAAAATAAACTTTACTGTTAATAAATAACCAGTTTGGTGCATGCAGTCTTAAGCTCTAATATATCTCCACATATAAGCTAATTCAATAATTAAACTGAAAACAGTATTTCCTTAAGTAAATATAAACTTTGAGTTATTTATCCAAGATTCAATATGATTAAATTGACTGACTGATACTGAATTCATCTGAGCCATTACACATAATAGAATTTCTTTGAGAGGGAGTCCTTACTTTCAACTGTGGCAGCCTCTCTTACTTCTGCTTGTGTCACAGCATCCTTGGACTCCTCATCTGTTTCAAACAGGTCTGAGATGTGTACTTTGGCCCTGCAAATTCAAAAGAAAATTAAAATACACATTAAAATTAAGAAGGTAATATTTCTTAAGAGTTCACAGTAATACATGTAATATACATACGTGTTGCAGCGCAGAAGAGTAAGCTTCTTACTAGCATGTATGTATATAATAATGAATATACATGGGTAAAATGACACACCAAATGTTGTCATATATTAAAGGTTAGAGTAGCACTCTACATCACAAATAAATCACGGAACGAGTGGGGATTAAACCAGTTTCCTAGTTTTTTGCAATTGTTATTACGATTTCATGAGTCACTCTAAATCATGAAGTAAGAGAGAACGTTTGGATACTAGTGAAAAAAAAAACTTACGAAATATTTCATATAAAGATTACTAATCATACAAGAGAGGAGAGCCAATAGTAACCCCAAATGTTTGAGAAATAAACACAAGAGATGAATATGATAAAGTCATCTGTATTATTAATCAAAAAGGATTAATAATCCAGGATAACCCAAGTAGAGCTTAGATTTGTTAAGATAAGATAAGACTTCGTTCGGATTTTTAACCCCGGAGGGTTAGCCACCCAGGATAACCCAAGAAAGTCAGTGCGTCATCGAGGACTGTCTAACTTATTTCCATTGTGGGTCCTTAATCTTGTCCCCCAGGATGCCACCCACACCAGTCGACTAACACCCAGGTACCTATTTGCTGCTAGGTGAACAGGACAACAGGTGTAAGGAAACGTGTCGAAATGTTTCCACCCGCCAGGAATCGAACCCGGGCCCTCCGTGTGTGAAGTGTGAGCTTTAGCCACCAGGCCACCGGGCCACCTTGGTCTTAGGTCCTCCCCCATAGAATCTACCTTCAATACCCAACTCCTTGTTAAGTTATTTACTGCTAGGCAAACAGAGGCGGCTGTAAGGGATCTCCCCCACCTGACCTCAGGTTCTTCTGGCTGTTAAACCGAACACAACCACTGAGTTACAAGCCTTGATGGTCCAGTTTATATTTCAGCTTTGTGAAATCCTTGTGCTTCGCTTCAGTGATGGTATGTTGACATTAACATGTTTTAAGTTGAAAGCCGATACAAAGAGGATTTCTTAGCACATCATCTCAAAGGTTTAAAAGAAAGAAATTTGCAGTTAAAGAAACCTTAGATACTAGTGAAGGAAAGATCTCTGGAAGATAAGTTCTGGCCAAGACGTGCATCCTTTTGCAAAGCCATGTCCTTGACTGAACGGTTCTCCCAGTCGATGTTTATCTCATACATAAAATAGTTAATAATAAAGGAAATATACAGAATACTGAATAAATAGGTAACATAGCCAATGGAAATAAGACACTGACTTTTTTGGGTTATCCCAGGTTCTCTACACATATAGCTGCTATGTATGATAATCTATGTTAATTATATTTGTGTATACCTGAATAAACTTACTATTGATACCGTCAGCTACATATGTACTGTATACAAAAGCATGTCTAGACTGAGTGGTGCAAATCTGTTTGCTGTAGTTATGCGGGTGACATCTCAATATTCTCAGATGTTCCGAGCCTTTCACAGTTATGAAATGTTATTCCTGTGGTAAAAACTGCTATATAGCGAGGTGTTGCAGTATGAGAGTCCAACCTTTCAAACCTAAAACAGCGTGTAATGGGTGTGGAAATAAAGCATAATCGGGAACAGGACAATTAGAGCTGCTATGAATAACCTCCAATTCTTATTAGTAGCTGTAGGTGGCACCACTGAATAATCCGGGCATTTAGTACTTGCAGTGCTAGGCCACCAGGGCTTTGGTGGCCTGGTGGTTAACGCTCTCGCTTCACACGGTGAGGGCCTGGGTTCGATTCCCAGCCAGAGTAGAAACATTGGAACGGTTTCTTCCAGCCGTTGTTTATCCTCCATCATAAAATGGTAACATAAAGGAATTATACGAATATGTTAGATCAGGGACATGCCAAGGAGCTAGGACACAGACTTTGGGTCCCAGGGCGTTGACCCCGGAAATCTTAGTATAATTACTACCGAATAAACTACTAGGTACTACATATGTACGTTAGGAGGGATGATTGTGTGCAATCTGCTTCGTAGTTCGGGGCCCAGACTTTCAACTGTTCCGAGCTCACAATAAGGGGTACCAACATGCCCATGCGAGTCTTCATATGCATGGCCAACTTACAAACCTAAAGGGGGTAAATAAAGCTTCTGATCAGGACGTTGGTGCTTGTACCTTTGTTTTGTGAGCTGTAGGCAACCACTGAATTGATCGGGCATCTGTACTCAGGTAGGCCTGTTCATAGACGGTCACGGTGGCAGTTGGGGGGATATCTCTGTGTAATCTTTACACGTATATGCTTCTAAACTGCTGTATTCTGAGCACCTCTGCAAAAACAGTGATAATGTGTGAGTGAGGTGAGTGTTGAATGATGATGAAAGTATTTTCTTTTTGGGGATTTTCTTTCTTTTTTGGGTCACCCTGCCTCGGTGGGAGACGGCCGACTTGTTGAAAAAAAAAATACACATAGGTACAATTATCATACATTGTAAATTACCTAAGATAATCCAAAATAGTCAGTGACTTATTTCCATTATAACATTAATGAATTTTTGAGGGTGAACGTTATTTTTTTAGGGGGAGGGTTACCCAACATTGGTGGAAGATGGCCGGTATTAAAAAAAATGAAAATATAACAAGTACAACAAATAATCTTTAATAAATACCTAAAAGCAGCCAAATGGGCATAGTATGCGGGGCTTGGGAGAGAAACTGATCTTGTGCAACGCGAGTACAAGTGACACAGACTGTACGTAAGTGTCTGCAAGTCATCCATAGTAATATCATTGTCATCCCACAGTACGTGATAATGAGTTGGTTTGCTGGTTCCTTGAATACCCTGTAGAAAATATTAATACAGGTTACCTATTTGAAATGGTTCACTGGTTCTTAATAGTAATATTACTACTGACTGTAATGATTTCAAAGAAATTCTGAAAAATGCTACAGCAATGTTAGCCAGTGATTGTGTACAAGTCTGAAAGTATTCCAAGAAATTTCACTTAGCAATAGGGAAGGAGAAAGTATAAAATAATTAACTGATTCCTAAGGTTTCAACATTGTAACTTAAATAAGACAAATGTACTTACTTTATGAGAGCAAAGATAGAAATCTCTCTCATTTGGATGAGTTATTGCTGTATCCACTACAGTGCCAGGTGGAACGTTCTTACACTTTCCAACACCATCTTTGTCACTGCAAAACAACCTAGAAGAAATGTTGACAATAATACAGTTGTACTTGCCAAGGTTTATACCAAGTATTATACACTACTGAGTGTAACAGGCAAATTTCTGCAAAAGGAAGAGAATTGTTGAACATCTCGAGTATTTGAGGCCTTATAAAACAGCAGCAGTTTCAGAAATGGCAGATCATCCCTTACATGATAAATTTATAGATGTTAGGAAGGAATTAGAGGGATAGGTGAACTGCATATTCCTAGACTATAAAAAAGCTTTGATAGTGTCACATAGGTTACCTAGCAAATTTGAGGAACAAGTTGGCGTAATAGGTGACATTAATATCGATAAGGAAATGCCCGAAAATTACAAAAGTCGCTATAAGGACTGAATACATCGGCTTCAGGAGGATTCAGAGAAACCGGTTAGCTGAACGTGAATCTTTTAAGTAGGAAGTACAGTGCCTGCACTCTAAAGGAGGAGTTGGGATATTTGCTGTTTGGAGGAATATCTGAATTGTCGTAGCTGCGCGTCTCTGCCAAGACAGTGATAGAGTGAAAGATGGTGAAAGTGTTTCTCTTTCGGGTCACCCTACCTCGGTGGGAGACGGCCAGTGTTTAAAAAGAATGAAGAATGCGAGTGTGGTTTTAAAACACATTAATTACAAAACAATGAATACAAATTTACCTTGTATGGTGTCGTTTCTGAACCACTAGGAAAGTGATGCCTGGCTGATAGTTTTGGTCAAGTTCAGAACATGCAGCACGCATGGCTTTCATCTCATAAGCCAGTACCTCCATAAACTGCGACTCACTAACACCGTCACGGTACATAACAATCCGTTCTGGCTTACATCCTCTGGTATTGTGATGAAAAGCTATCAACAGGTTTCTGGAAATATAAAATTATTAAGCCATTTTGCACATAACCTACACATAGAGGAAAGAAATTTATGCCGACTTTTTGATCCGACTTGGGCCGTTAACTATGATGACCCGTGGCCTGACTGGCAAGGCTCTCGCTTCACATACGGAGGGCCCGGGTTCGATTCCCGGCGGGGTAGAAACATTTTGACATGTTTCCTTACATCTTTTGTCCTATTCACCTAGCAGCAAGTAGGTACCTGGGTGTTAGTGGACTGGTGTGGGTCACATCCTGGGGGAGGAGACTGAGGACCCCAATGGAAATAAGACAAAGTCCTCGATGATGCACTGCCTTTCTTGGGTTATCCTGGGCGGCTAACCCTCCGGGGTTAAAAATCCGAACGAAATCTTAACTAGTCAAGTCGGACCCAGACGTCTACAAAAGGTTTTCTCCTACTTGCGGGTTATTTGTGTATTGTTCCAGTCACGGTATTGTGCCCTTTTCTTTATTTGGTAATTTGAAATATACTGCTTTCAGAATGCAAAAATTAATCTGCCTTTAAGCTTATATGCGTAAAGGCAGATTTATTCTGCCTTTACGCAGATTTATTTAACTTCAGATTTATGCAGTTTTATTCTGCATTTCCAGTTTGTCACTACAAAATAATTTTCATTAAATTAATGCTAATAAAATACCTGTGATTATTGACTTACCTGGTCATATTCTTGAGGTCTTGAATAATTTCTACCCGGTGTTGTTGAGGTCTCACTTCTACTGCATATCTTGAAGCAAATCTATCAAAGGAGGCCACAACTGCAGCCATGGAGGGAGATATTGTGTCACCAGCTGAAGGGTGGTTTACATCTGCTCCCATGATCATAACAGGTCTCTCTAAAATCTGAAAGTGGAAATAAATTTAATCTTGAAGAAAGGACATGTTTGCAGAATGAGTTTTATTAAAACTCAGTCCATAAAGATCTACTCGTGGCTGGTTTAGCGCTTCCCCCTTGATTATAATAATAATAATACTCGTGGCTGTCTTCCAGAGGGAGCTGGACACACATGACCAGCCGGGCTGCAGTTCCTACTCTGGATTACGTGCGGCCGGTAACAACAGCCTGGTTGATGAGGCTCTGATCCACCGCAAGGCCTGGTCAGTGACCAGGCCGCGGGGGCGTTGACCCCGGAACACCCTCCAGGTATATATGTATATTGAAAAGGACATGGTAAAAGGTGATACTTATTTTGAAAGAGGAGGATATACAGTCCAACAAACTATGACCATTGTGCCTTATTACCTGGAGTTTACCTGAACTCTCTCCAGGTAAACTCCAGGTAATAAGGCACAATGGTCATAGTTTGTTGGACTGTATATTAGAAAATAAAGACTGATGGGTAGATTTACGTTTTTTTTTTTTTCAACAAGTCGGCCGTCTCCCACCGAGGCAGGGTGACACAAAAAAAGAAAGAAAATCCCCAAAAAGAAAATACTTTCATCATCATTCAACACTTTCACCACACTCACACATTATCACTGTTTTTGCAGAGGTGCTCAGAATACAACAGTTTAGAACCATATACATATAAAGATACACAACATATCCCTCCAAACTGCCAATATCCCAAACCCCTATTTACGTAGATTTACGTATGTACATGTTTTTATAAGAGCAACAGATATGCCAGATCATTAGTGGTAACCCCAGTAAGAGTGAAGGGTTGATGGAGTACACGGAGACTGGCAGGAGCAGTTAGGAAAAAAGTGAATGTTACTGAAGTAAGGAAACAGTTCTGGGGAAATATAAGCAAGAGAAAGTCCAGGAAATGAGGAGGTTCGGGATAATTTTAAGAACGTTGTGCTTGAGTGCACAACAGAAGTTTGTGGGTATAATGGGTCAGTTGCGAGTGAGAAAAGGAATGACTGGTGGAATGATAAAGAAGGACTTAAGAGAGAAAGTTAGCATACGACAGGTTTATACAATGTAAAAATAACATACGAAATGCAGCATATATAAAGGAAGGAGGTTAAGAGTGGTGAGGGAGTGCAAAAGGTGAGCCAGTGAGAGAATAGGTGAGTCCTCGTCAGTCAGTTTGGCTGAGAATAAGAATCAGTTTTGGAAGCTTGAAGAGCAAATGGAATTAGCATTTAAAAACGCAATAAGTGGAGATGCTAGATGGGGAGGCCGCTGAGGTAAAAAAAAAAATACATTCGCCCACCAATCATGCAATCGGTCTTGCTAGAAGTGTGCTAACATCGCAATTCAGATTACTCTATGGCTGCAGCATCTCCATCGCTCCTTCAGGGTACTGTGGAGCCCAGTCCCTGGACCCATTATGTACCTCTGTAATCTTTTTGACTACCGCCCACAGGATGGGTATGGGCTACATAATTATGATATTCAACTAAACTAACTTCAGAGTACAGACAGAGCCCGTCCCACCTCCGGCTTCCTATGGGTCCTTCCATAAAGGTTACCTTGCTCACGCTCCAGCACCACATCCATTAAAAACTATTTATCTCCATCCTCTACCACGCTAACACAAATAAAATATTAAAGAAAATATTAAGTCATAAAACAACTTACCACTGGATTTCCAGTCTTTGAAATGACATTATTTATGCCTCCCATCTTAGCATTTATTTTGAGTAGTATATTTGCTAGTGTTGGTATTTTCACTTGAGTAACATTTACTGCTTGGATGCACTGTGTCAAGACCCCAACTTCAATGTCACCTATCCTCTTCACTCGGGCTATAAAGAACAAGTCAAAATTTTAATAACACTGTTCGACTGAAATATTGTACAAGATATAAATAGGAATTGACTCGTGATGCTGGTGTGAGATTTGTCTATAAAAAACCGTATTTGTGGTAAGAATGGTCCATACTAATGGGTCTTACGTGTGTACAGAAATAAAACTAGCTGGATAAATGCAAAGTACCCAACGAAAATAATCCCAGGACCCCAACGAAAATAAGTCACTGACTTTTTTGGGTTACCCTGGTGAGTAATTTACACACATGTTACTATGTATTATAATTCGTGTAACTGTATTTATGTGTACTTGTATCTTATGTATGTGAGAGTTTGTGTAATGTTCCAGTCACGATATTGTATTTTATTGTATTCTTACTAAGCCTAGTCTTAATGTGCCCAAAATGCTGTGCATACTATAGGCTTCTCAACTAGTGTACTTTTAAATGTATAATATTTTGAAAGTAAATTTGACTTTTTTTTATGGATGTTTGTTAATAAATAAAATCCATACATACCACTATATTAACAATAATAAAGTTGTTACTTTTAAAATTAGGCTTTACAATGAGCTCAGGTAAGATAACACATCAGCTAGTAAACAAACCATACCACGGGCGAGATTTGAACCCGCGGTCAGTATCAAAGAACACTAAACCCTCAGCTGACCTACGGGCTGGAAGCATTTTGTAACCCACACGTCGGTTCCTTAGGGGCCGTCAGTTCAAAACTCCAGACCCTCGCGTGGTATGGTTTATTTGCAATCGTGTCATTACGATTTCGTGAGTCACATCAGCTAGTAATTGAACAGCATAAAAATATGCAGGAAATTTGAGCCTAACTCCAGAATACGAGTGTTAGAAAAAGGAACAGAAAATAGGCTGCACATCCAAAAATTTAATTATAGAGGTAGCCAATTTTTTTCAATAAACCGGCCATATCCCGCCGAAGCAGGGTGACCTAAAAATTAGAAATGTACACAGGAGTTACCAGCCCCTTGCTCCAGGCATTTTAGTCGCCTCTTACGACACGCAAATACTTAAAATATGCAAATATGTAAAACTAATCATTATTCTCACCATAGAGGTCATCACCCCTTCCTAGGACAATCAGAATCATCTGTATATCAGGATAGGTCTTCTTTAGTGTGTGTATATCTTGCTCAGGGTTGGGTTTCTGGCTACTAGTAACACTGTGTGGTCGATGGAAGGTCATTCCTCGCTCACGAGACATCTGAACCATCTTCTTGATAAAATCACTGAAAGAATGTATTTAATTAACAAAATGGCACAATAACATGACTGGAACGATACACAAATAACCCACAACCTTTCGGTCCGACTTGACTATTTACGGTCACACAGTGTGACTGTGAATACCCAAGTCGGAAAGAAACGTCGTGGTAAGCTCCTCTCTCCTATGTGCGGTTGTGTAATATATTTTAACAACAATGGGGAAGCAAAGAGTTATTCAAGGAAGGTGGGTGTTCTGGCTCTCGTATTTCCGTGTAATTTATAATACAAATTAATAAAATATCCCCTTTATATATATCATTTGAGATACATAATCCCTAAGGGTTTAGCGCTCCCTCATGATTATAATAATACTCTCATTTAATTAGTACCGCCGAGCTAGCCTACCTTTACACCCACACCCTCACCCACACACACACCCACACCACCCCCCACACACCCACACCCACCCACACACACACACACCACATCCCACCCA